AAAAAAAAAAAAAAAAGGAAAGCTTAAATTGTGAATTTAAAATCGAAAGCAATGGGCAATGTCAGAAATGTACAAATACTATCCGTGTCGTTAATCGCAACCTCATTTAAGTGCTATATTTTACTATATTACCTGATCATCAAGTCTTAGGTTCTTTACTGTGTTTAATAAAAACGAAAAGAAACAACACACAACAAAAAACAAAACACAGCAACAGCACAAGCAAACATGAGCCTGTCATTAAAGTTCACGAGTTAAAATGTGTATTGACGGTTGGTCGTTAAGCGACTGTCCTCCACCAGCTTGTGAGGGTGGTGCTTATGGCTCATGCTATTTATTCCTTTAGGATTTTTAGAACATCAGTATTCTTAGATAATACATACCAAAAAAAAATTATTAGTATAGCATAAACTATTAATATACATTCATGGCCAAACCTTAGAGGAGGGTCGCTGATCACTTTCAAACATTAGGCACATTTACATAATCAACGATCCCATCAATGATCACAATTTAATCTCCAGCAGGTCTCACGAAATGCGGCATATAGCATGCTGTACCTTCAGCAGGTCTCACACCTCTGGAGACCCATCCCTTGCAGATTCAGACAGACGATGAAAAATGAAGGAAAAAACAAACTTACACCCCGCTACATCCAGATCAAGAGACGCCATCTTGACCTGTCTAACATCCTTGTGATCTCTCGTCTTGCAAAGGTAAGGACCCCTGTGCATGCACTCAATGTTATGTATAGTATAGGAGATTTCCGTCAAGCTACTGGTTCCTGTTAACAGCCTCTCGTCCCTGTCCAAAATGAATATTGGTGAGGGTAACCATTTGCCACTAACTTTACACTTGAGAGTAACATTGGCTCCTACTGGGAACACAATCGGTTGATCGATGCGAGTCCGAAAATCAGTGCCGTTGGCTGTAAACGATTTTATTCTCCTGGCTTCATCTGACAAAATGATGAGAAAAAAAAGAAAATCTAATAGAAAAACCATTCTTGCCTTGGTATGCACGCCTTAGAGCATTGAACGATGTACATATAGTCAGCGCAATCAAATACTTTTTATTATCAGTGGAAATTTTGGGTTTGTGGTGGCAACCATGGTCCGCAATGGCTTGCAAGTTGGAGGCAGTCATAAAGTACAACATAAAAAAAAAAATGGTTTACCGCACCAGCATTAAATAAAAACTCTTCGCACTCCATTCTAGACAGCGACGAGGCCATGACAGGCAGTTACGGCAGATAGCAGCAAGAAAACAGTACAGGATATGCTCATTCCTGCAAGACATAATCAGGGACTGGGACAAGCTTACGAAAAGGATTAGTTAAGGTGACAACACTTCAAAAAATTGCGTCTATTGCCTCATGCGTTCCTACATCCAGTTCCTGATCCCTCATTGATAAGCCCTTGAAACAAGGGAAATATCGAAATCAACAATAAAATGCACAGAAACATCGTGAATCCCAACTATAAATAGGATTCAAAAATTGATCAATACATTGATCTAGTGCCATCAAAATATAGAAGAAGAAGAATTTTCACAAAACAAGGGATTTGGGTTTGTTGGTTTTTTTAAGGAGGGGGGGGGACTTTTGGCCTACTGAGAGAATAGGAATGATTAGTTGATTTATGTCTCGCAACGCACTTTTGAAGGAGAAAAAAATAATTACAATAATCGGAAATTTTCTTATTTCTACATATCACTTTTCGTATGAGACTGAAACAAAAGAATATTGGGATGAAGGGA